GGTGGGTCAGCGCCAGCGCGGCTGCAACGCCTTCAGTACACACGGCTTTCCGTATTTGTGTGTGGGTGTGCAGATCTCTTCCCCATCCCTGTCCGCTAGGTTTGGTTTGCACTTCTCAGAGGCAGATTTAAAACTGGGTTCTTGCCCTGGCCGGTTTCTCTCAGTGGTTAGAGTGTCAGCCCTCGGACCGAAGGGTTGTGGGTTGGATTCCAGTCAAGGGCATGTACCTCGGTTGCAGGCTTGATCCCCGGCTCCAATCAGGGTACATGTGGGAGGCAACCAATTGATGTATGTCTCTCACATCCATGTCTCTCTCTTCCCCCTCCTCCGTCCTCCCACTCTCTCTAAAAATCAATGGAAAAATATCCTTAGGTGAGGATTAAAAAACAACAAAAAACCCCATGGGTTCTTGGCCATTAATCAGAGCCTAGCCATTTCGTTTAATAATAACTTGTGGCCTTTTATGTCCACTTCACCTTTTTTTACTCATTTGCGTAATGGCCACTTCATATGATTCAGCTGTGGGCAGAGACAGCCATTCTCCTAAGGGACAGGCAGATAGGAAACCTCTCTTAGCAGAGAGTTACATGAGGCTCAGAGAAGGGGTGTCCCGGGCCTGCTGGTCATCTGCATTGTTAATGGCAGATTGCCATAGTGCGGATTACAGGGGTGGGGGGTGGGTAGGGGGGGTACGGGGGGGGGGGGCTTGGCCATGTGAGTGACAGATAACGGGGAGGAGATGAGGGGAAGATTTTCATTAGAGGCAAACACTTCCACAGAAAGGGAAGTGGGCGGAGACAGAGCCAAGGAGGTGGGTGTTATGCCCAGAATTCAAGATCCCCAAGAAACCATGCCAGGGAGTCAGTCCGATGCAAAAGCAGAAGGTCCTTTATTGAGTTAGCTAACCCGACCCGGACCTCCAGTCGACGCAGCGACCGGAAACCGAGTGAGTCCCATGTGAAAATCCGGGCTTTCATAGTGAGGGGAGGGGAGCTGGCTGTGGCCCTGCCGATTGGCCAGGCGCAAGTCGGGTCTTGTTACACAGGATGTGGTCTTCTCTATGGCGCGCACATCCCTTGCTTGTCATTGGTTAGTTCAAAGAAATCCTGGGCGTGGCCAGCAGGGGCCTGGGCTCGGGAAGAAGGCACTTTTCTGAGCACATGGCCTCTGCCCCAACATGGAGGATCCAGGGTAAGATGGAGGGCCGTAGCCCTCGCCCTTTCATTCCCCCCTTGTCTTGGAACTTCCAGCTCAATCATGAGACGGACTGCACTTCTATTTCACTGTCGCTAGGGGCCCGTAGTGAGTTCACAGAACTATCAACTGAACTATTTTATACACTTAACAAATGGTCCGGTGGAAGGGAAAGAAACCATTTAAGCTTTAACAACTTCTAGTGAAATAGGATTTTTCTTCTTAAAATTCCTCCATGGCTATTAAAACCTGAGCATTGCCAAATTTTGGAGGAATTACATAAGGAGAAAACCATATTGATCTACTCTAAGATTTTCTGACTTTCCTTGCTAATTTCTTTTCATGGATTTTAAACAAAACAGCAACTATTGGCATTAAACTTTCTTTCTATGTATAATCATGCTCTAGACCGTTTATCTAAACAGGCCTTTCCCAGCTTTACTAACCCTGACATGGGCATGATGACTCAGGCCTGCAAGCAGTACACAGGCTGCCAACTGTCAACTGTCTTTTAACAGAGACCCAAAACCTGATGAGCATCCTTTACTTTTGGGGGTCACCCCCCACAGTTCCCTTCCAGGACAGCCAACACACACTCAAGCCTGCAAGAGAATTAAAGGTCAATATAACATATCAATACAATAAAACATGATACTAGACATGTGATCCTATGAATTGTCCTTGTCATTTTGGAGCCATGTCCATGAAGGCGCAGGCATTATCTAAATCTATTTAATGTTACCAGCATCACGCAGGTCGAGCACGCCGTAGCTTGAGCTTGAGCGGGTTGCGTGGATCTCGATCGATGCTCCATTTGGTGATGAAGTCTTTCCGGATCGTGGAGGGGTCCGCTGACCGGACGTGAGTGTGATGAACCCAGGTCGCGACGCCGTCTACCTTGAGAGCAGTGGGGGTTGTCAGCACCACGGTGAAGGGACCCTTCCAACGTGGCTCAAGGGTCTCTCGATGATGCCTTCTGACGTAGACCCAATCTCCTGGTCTGTGTTGATGAGGAGTTGGGGTTGGGCTGGTCTCATAGATGGCGCGGAGGCGCGGCCAGATGTCCTCGTGCGCCCTTTGGAGCCCTCTTAAGGAAAGAGATAGTTCTTGATTTTCAAATTCAGCGAGTAAGTCAGCTTTAAGGTTAGGAATGATAGGGGGTGGCCTGCCAAACATGATCTCATAGGGAGTAAAACCCAGGGTGTAAGGGGAGTTCCTCACCCTGTAAAGGGCATATGGAAGGAGAGCCACCCAGTCCCCGCCAGTCTCCATGGTTAATTTGGTAAGGGTCTCTTTTAGAGTTCTATTCATTCTCTCTACCTGACCTGAACTCTGGGGTCTATAAGCACAATGTAATTTCCAATTTGCCCCAATAGCCCTAGTTACTACCTGCGTTACCTGTGAAATAAAGGCTGGCCCGTTGTCGGATCCTATCATAGCAGGAAAACCATACCTGGGTAAGATGTCTTCCAGCAGCTTCTTGGCCACCGTCTGAGCTGTTTCGTGCTTGGTTGGGTATGCCTCTACCCAGCCAGAGAAGGTGTCTATGAACACTAAAAGATATTTATAACCATACTTCCCTGGTTTAATTTCAGTGAAATCGACCTCCCATTGTGCTCCTGGTTTGGTGCCTCTGAGCCTGGTCCCTCTTTCATTTGATCCGACCCTTGCATTTGTAAGTTGGCAGGTCTTGCAGGCAGACACAACCTGATCTATCTTGGTATTCTGCTGGTGAATTTTGATCCTGGCATGTTGGATTAAGTCCTTCATTTTCCGGGTTCCCAGATGAGTGGATTGGTGCATATGTTTTAATATCGTGTCCCCGAGCCAGTCTGGCAGTATAAGTTCTCCTTCTGGTGTATGCCACCATCCCTTTATTTCCTGGGCTCTGGGGAGCTTTCTGATATGTTGCAACTCTTCCTGGGAGTACTTGGGCTGGTCTGGTAAGACTGGGTCCCCTGGGTCTGGGAGTTGTAAGGCCATGGTAGGGACCGAGGTAAGGGCTACTGCCTTTGCAGCCTGGTCAGCCTTTTGGTTGCCTTTCGCTACCGGGTCATCAGCTCTTTGGTGTCCCTGGCAGTGGATTATGGCTAACTTGGCAGGAAGCCATAAGGCCGCGAGCAGGTCGAGAATTTCCTGCTTATTTTTTATTGTCCGTCCCTCTGCTGTCAATAGCCCTCTTTCCTGGTAGATTGCCCCGTGAACATGAGCTGTAGCAAATGCATAACGGCTGTCTGTGTAAACATTAAGCCGTTTTCCAGCCCCCAGTGTCAGTGCCTTGGTGAGTGCAATGAGTTCTGCTCTCTGAGCTGATGTCCCAGGGGGCAGAGCCTCCGCCCACACGGTGTTCGTGTCTGTGACCACCGCTGCACCCGCATACCTGCACCCGTTCCGCACGAAGCTGCTTCCATCCGTGAACCAGGTGGCCTCTGCATCCAGGAGGGGCCGATCGGTCAAGTCCTTCCGAAGTCCATGTACCTGCTCCAGGATTCCCGCACAGTCATGTAGTGGGGCATCTAGGTCAGGGTCAGGTAGCAGGGTAGCAGGGTTGAGGGCCGCACTGGGATGGAACCGTACTCTAGGGGGGTTGAGCAGCAAGCTTTGATAGTGGGTCATGCGAGCATTGCTCATCCACCTATCGGGAGGTTGTTTTAGGACCCCTTCAATGGCATGCGGGGTTGTGATCCAGATCTCCTGTCCCAGGGTCAGTTTGTCAGCATCCTTGACTAAGAGTGTGGTTGCCGCAATGATTCTTAGGCACGGTGGCCAGCCGGCAGCTACGGGATCCAGTTTTTTAGACAAATATGCTACTGGGCGACTCCAGGGGCCTAAAGCCTGGGTTAAAACTCCTTTTGCTACTCCTTTGCGCTCGTCTACAAAGAGGCGAAAGGGTTTTGTAATGTCTGGTAGGCCCAGGGCTGGAGCAGCCAAAAGAGCTTTCTTTATCTGATTAAAGGCAATTTCTTCTGTCTCAGTCCATTTAAAGGCCTTCCCCTCCTTGCTGGCTTCGTATAGGGGCCTGGCGATCTCAGCAAAACTCGGTATCCAGAGGCGGCAATAGCCAGCCGATCCTAGGAATTCCCTCACCTCCCTCCGGGAGGTGGGAGCAGGGATTTTCAAGACTGTCTCTTTTCTAGCATCTGACAACCGCCGCTGTCCGCCCTCCAGTATGTATCCCAGGTAACTCACCCTCTTTTGGCATATCTGAGCCTTCTTCGCCGAGGCCCGGTACCCTAAGGTTCCTAAGGTGGCCAGCAGATCTTTGGTCCCTTGCTCACAATCTTTGGCTGTATCGGCAGCAATCAGGATGTCATCTACGTATTGAAGAAGGGTGAGATTGGGGTGTTCCCTCCTGTACTCACCGAGGTCTTCATGCAGCGCCTCGTCAAAGATGGTGGGTGAATTCTTGAATCCTTGGGGCAATCGCGTCCAGGTTAATTGTCCACTGTAACCTTCCTCAGGGTCGTGCCATTCGAAGGCAAACAGGGGTTGGCTTTGAGGCGCTAGCGGCAGGCTGAAAAAGGCATCCTTCAAGTCTAATACAGTATACCAGATTCTAGAGGGTGCCAGAGAGCTTAGGAGAGTGTATGGGTTAGGAACGGTTGGGTGTATATCCAGGACTCTTTTATTTACTTCCCGGAGGTCCTGAACTGGCCGATAGTCATTCGTATGGGGCTTTCTGACTGGCAGGAGGGGGGTGTTCCAGGCAGATTGGCATGGAACCAGTACCCCTAGGCTTCGCAGTCTCCGGATGTGAGGCTGGATTCCCTTCCGAGCCTCCTGGGACATAGGGTACTGTTTGACTCTCATCGGGCCTTCTCCTGGTTTTAGTTCTACCAGTGTTGGGGCCCTGTGGGCGGCCAGCCCCACTCCCCCCGTCTCTGCCCAGGCTGTGGGGAATTCTTGCAGCCACCTGTCCATATTGTTCTCTACTGGGGGAGCCCCCTGGTGGAGGCGATATTCATCCTCCAGTCTCAGAGTCAGAACCTGGATGGGGTGGCCTTCGCCATCGGTGACCTGAGGCCCCCCTTGTCTGAAGGTTATTTGGGCCCCAATCTTGGTTAGCAAGTCTCGTCCTAATAGGGGGTAGGGGCATTCTGGTATTACCATGAAGGAATGGGATACCTGGCCCGTTCCTAGATCTACTGTTCTTCGGGTAGTCCATGAATACTGGCTCATGCCAGTTGCCCCTTGCACCCAGGACTTTTTGCTGGCTAGCTTCCCCTGAGGTGTGCGGAGAACCGAATGTTGTGCTCCAGTGTCGACAAGGAAGTCAACAGGTGTCCCCTCCACTTTAAGAGTTACCCTGGGCTCGGGGAGGGGATCCGAACCCCGACTTCCCTAATCACTCAGTCCTTCCAGCTCCAAGACCTCCACCCGGTCTGTCTTGTTCCCCTTTTTACCGGCCTTCTTTGGGCATTCTCGGACCCAGTGCCCTATCTCTTTGCAGTAAGCACACTGGTTCTGTTGCAGCTTCCTTTTCCCGTCCCGGGCAGTTCTCTTACCTCTTTCTTGGCCATCAGCGAGCTGGCGGAGGTGGCGGGTCCGCTCCCCAGGGGACTCCATGGTGGTGGCTAGCAGAATCTTGGCCAGGTTTCGAGTCTGCTTGTCACTGGCAGCCGCCATGGCGCGGGCTTGCCTCTCCTCAGGGGGCTCTCGGTTATTGAACACCTTCTCTGCTACTACCAGTAAATCCTGTAAACTCTTTTCTCCTAATCTATCTATTCTCTGTAGTTTCTTTCTAATGTCCATGGCTGACTGGTTTATAAAACTCATGATTACAGCTGCCTTATTCTCAGGGGCTTCTGGATCCATGGGGGTATAGGTGCGATATGCCTCCATGATCCGTTCTAGAAAGGCAGCTGGAGACTCATCTCTTTCCTGCTGTACGTTCCCTACCTTGGTCAAATTGGTGGGCTTTCTAGCAGCCCTGCGGAGACCTCCCATTAGAGTCTGACGGTAGACCAAGAGCCTCTCCTTACCTTCTGCCGTGTTGAAATCCCATTCAGGCCTAGTTAAGGGAAAAGAGACATCTATCTGGGCCTGGTTTGTGGTTGGATTTCCGTCTACACCGGGAACCATCTTTCGGGCCTCACTGAGGATCCTTTCTCTCTCTTCCGTCGTGAACAGAACCTGTAAAAGCTGCTGACAGTCATCCCATGTGGGCTGATGGGTGAAAAGAACAGAATCTAGCAAGTCAATAAGTCTCCCCAGTTTCTCGGAGAACTTAGGGTTCTGTGCCTTCCAGTTATAGAGGTCGCTAGTTGCGAAAGGCCAATAAACATGGGGCTGGTTGCCATCCGCATCTGGAGGTCCAGCGGCTCGTAAGGGCAGGGTCTTGATAGTGGAGTAGGGTGCTGCGACAGACAGCTCCCGCTGAGCTCTTTGCCGGGTGAGAGGTGGGCCTCCTACCGGAACCGGAACCGCGGCCATTCCCGGAACCCCGCCCCCAGCCATTCCCGGAACTGCGTCAGCTTCCCGCGACGGGGTAGGATCGAATCTCTCCGGCATCCTGTGGAAATGATACGGGGGAGGAAAAATTAACTCTTCTCCAGTTCCCCCCTGCAAAACCGGGTAGGGGGGAGCTGGAGCTGACGGCAGGGTGGCTTTCTTCTCCTTCTTCTTCTCCGCTTCCTGTAAGGCAAGAATGGGTTCTGGCTCCGGAGGGTGTGGAGGTAGGAAGGGCCTAAGCCAAGGTGGTGGATTTTCCACGAGGTCCTGCCAAGTAACAATGTAAGAGAGTTGACCAGGATGTCCCTCTTTGGGCTGGGAGACGACGTCCCTAACCCGGCGAATGGTGGGGAGATCGAAAGTCCCCTCCGGCGGCCACCCAACATTAAAAGTTGGCCACTCCCTAGAACAAAAAGTCCGCCACCGGTCCTTCTGGACCTCCGCACTGAGGTTGCTGGCCCTTCCCTTTACCTCTTTAAAATGATCGACCATAATGCTTAAAGGAGTAGTTTGAGCCTGTCCCATAACGTCCATCCAGTAAATCCACAAAATAAAACCGAAAAAACACAAACACAGACAACTAAGGGGCCCGAAAATATAGTATTCCAACTCCATGGAAGCGAAACCAAAACAAGCTTCCAACTCCATGGAAGCAAAAACCGAAAACGACGGCTGTGTGCCAACCAGCTGGAGCGACCCGACTGTCTCAGATTAAGGGGTTTCCTACAGACTTTCCGACTCCGCGGAAGCAAAGCTATACCCCTTCAGATGGAGGATCGGGAAGTCTCCCGGCTCCTCCCGCCTATTGATCCCGTGCATCCACTCAGATCATTATTACAGGCATTTACAGGCATTTACAGATTTCAGAAGTGAGCTCACACCGGATAGATACAAAACAAAAAACACGCGACACAAACAAAACAAAAAACACGCGACACAAACAAAACAAGACCTACCGCGGTCAGTCAGGCCCTCCGGACTGGGAGTCCCCTCAATGGTGTTGGGGATCCCGGACGAGCCCCCAAAATGTTATGCCCAGAATTCAAGATCCCCAAGAAACCATGCCAGGGAGTCAGTCCGATGCAAAAGCAGAAGGTCCTTTATTGAGTTAGCTAACCCGACCCGGACCTCCAGTCGACGCAGCGACCGGAAACCGAGTGAGTCCCATGTGAAAATCCGGGCTTTCATAGTGAGGGGAGGGGAGCTGGCTGTGGCCCTGCCGATTGGCCAGGCGCAAGTCGGGTCTTGTTACACAGGATGTGGTCATCTCTATGGCGCGCACATCCCTTGCTTGTCATTGGTTAGTTCAAAGAACTCCTGGGCGTGGCCAGCAGGGGCCTGGGCTCGGGAAGAAGGCACTTTTCTGAGCACATGGCCTCTGCCCCAACATGGAGGATCCAGGGTAAGATGGAGGGCGTAGCCCTCGCCCTTTCAGTGGGGATGAGGGGTTATGCTTCAAAAGGGACAGCAGTTTGGACATATTAAGGCTTTTCTTAGACTTGATTTTATTCAGGTGCCACAACAGCCTTGAAAGTAGATGCCATTATGCCCATTTCTCAGATGGAACTACTGAGTCATAATGAGGTCAAGTAATTCCCTGGACAGCTGCACTAAAGACCTTGAAGGACATTGACACAGGGGCGTGATTCACGTGAAGCACCATGTGAGAGAACCCCCCAGGAATAAGGCAATAGCACACAGCTGTTAGGAGGCGGGGCCCAGACTCTGACATGGCTGCCTGGCTCCACAGCCTGGGTCTCAGCACCCTTCACAGTGCATCTTCCAAGATAGCCTTCTCTGGAACCCGCATCGCCTAGCCAGGCCCTGATTCATGCCTGTCTGCAATCTAGCAAGGGAGCCTTGCGCAGCCGGTGTGGCTCAGTGGTTGAGTGTGGACCATGCACCAAGAGGGCACCAGTTCGATTCCCGGACAGGGCACAGGCCCAGGCTGTGGGCTTGATCCCTGGTGGGGGGTGTGCAGGAGGCAGCCAATCCATGCTAATGTTCCTCTCTCATTGATGTTTCTATCCCTCCCCCCCCCCTCTCTCTTAAATCAATAAAGACATATTAAGAGAAAGAGAGAGAGAGGAAGAGAGAGAGAGAGAGAGAGAGAGAGAGAGAGAGAGCCTGGCACTGGTTCTAGCTGTGGAGAGAAAATAAACTGCACTTGGAGTTGGAGACCTGAGTTGGAGACCTGGGGCCGCCATGCAGCCACTGGCTGTGTGTAAGGTGAAGAGAAGGGGTGTCCTCCTGGCCCAGGGTGAGGCCTCCAAAGTTCCCGGTGAAAGAGCCCTGTAAGCTGTGCAGAGCGAGCAAATGGAGAGGTGAGTGCAACCCGGGAGCTGGGCCAGCAGGCAGCGTGTAGCATGTGAGGGGCCAGCAGGCAGCGTGTATCATGTGAGGGGCCAGCAGGCAGCGTGTATCATGTGAGCGGATACGCAGTGCAGAGCATTGGCGCTTCATGCCTCCTTGGCTTCCGAGAGAATGTGCCGGTGACCGCGTGTGAGTCTGCACACAGCGGAGAGCCGTGTGTATGTGTGTGTGTGGGGCAGGCATGTGAGTGCACACAGCGGAGAGCCATGTGTGTGTGTGTGGGGGGCGGGGGTGTGAGTCTGCACACAGCAGATAGCCGTGTGTGTGTGTGTGTGGGGGCGGGCGTGTGAGTCTGCACACAGCGGAGAGGCACGTGCACGTGTGTGTGTGTGTGTGTGGGGCGGGTGTGTGAGTCTGCACACAGCGGAGAGCCGTGTGTATGTGTGTGGGGGGGGCGGGCGTGTGAGTCTGCACACAGCGGAGAGCCGTGTGTATGTGTGTGGGGGGGGCGGGCGTGTGTGCACACAGCGGAGAGCCGCGTGTGTGTGTGTGTGTGTGTGGGGGGGGCGGGCGGGCGTGTGAGTGCACACAGCGGAGAGCCGCGTGTGTGTGTGTGTGGGGGGGGGGCGGGCGTGTGAGTGCACACAGCGGAGAGCCGTGTGTGTGTGTGTTGGGGGGGGGGCGGGGGTGTGAGTCTGCACACAGCAGAGAGCCGTGTGTGTGTGTGTGGGGGGGGGCGGGCGTGTGAGTCTGCACACAGCAGAGAGCCGTGTGTGTGTGTGTGTGGGGCGGGGGTGTGAGTCTGCACACAGCAGATAGCCGTGTGTGTGTGTGTGGGGGGGGCGGGCGTGTGAGTCTGCACACAGGAGAGAGCCGTGTGTGTATGTGTGTGTGGGGGGCGGGCGTGTGAGTCTGCACACAGCGGAGAGCCGTGTGTATGTGTGTGGGGGGGGCGGGCGTGTGTGCACACAGCGGAGAGCCGCGTGTGTGTGTGTGTGTGGGGGGGGGGAGCGGGCGGGCGTGTGAGTGCACACAGCGGAGAGCCGCGCGTGTGTGTGTGTGTGTGTGGGGGGGGCGGGCGTGTGAGTGCACACAGCGGAGAGCCGTGTGTGTGTGTGTGTGTGGGGCGGGCGTGTGAGTGCACACAGCGGAGAGCCGCGTGTGTGTGTGTGTGTGTGGGGGGGGGCGGGGCGTGTGAGTGCACACAGCGGAGAGCCGCGTGTGTGTGTGTGGCGGGGGCGGGCGTGTGAGTGCACACAGCGGAGAGCCGCGTGTGTGTGTGTGTGGGGGGCGGGCGTGTGAGTGCACACAGCGGAGAGCCGTGTGTGTGTGTGTGGGGGGGGCGGGCGGGCGTGTGAGTGCACACAGCGGAGAGCCGTGTGTGTGTGTGTGTGTGTGGGGGGGGGCGGGCGTGTGAGTGCACACAGCGGAGAGCCGTGTGTGTATGTGTGTGTGGGGGGCGGGCGTGTGAGTGCACACAGCGGAGAGCCGCGTGTGTGTGTGTGTGTGTGTGTGGGGGGGGCGGGCGTGTGAGTGCACACAGCGGAGAGCCGCGTGTGTATGTGTGTGTGGGGGGCGGGCGTGTGAGTGCACACAGTGGAGAGCTGTGTGTGTGTGTGTGTGTGTGTGGGGGGGGGGCGGGCGTGTGAGTGCACACAGCGGAGAGCCGTGTGTGTATGTGTGTGTGGGGGGCAGGCGTGTGAGTGCACACAGCGGAGAGCCGTGTGTGTATGTGTGTGTGGGGGGGCGGGCGTGTGAGTGCACACAGCGGAGAGCCGTGTGTGTGTGTGTGTGGGGGGGGCGGGCGTGTGAGTGCACACAGCGGAGAGCCGTGTGTGTGTGTGTGTGTGTGGGGGGGGCGGGCGTGTGAGTGCACACAGCGGAGAGCCGTGTGTGTGTGTGTGGGGGGGGGGCGGGCGTGTGAGTGCACACAGCGGAGAGCCGTGTGTGTGTGTGTGTGTGTGTGTGGGGCGGGCGTGTGAGTGCACACAGCGGAGAGCCGTGTGTATGTGTGTGTGTGTGGGGGGGCGGGCGTGTGAGTGCACACAGCGGAGAGCCGTGTGTATGTGTGTGTGTGTGGGGGGGTGGGCGTGTGAGTGCACACAGCGGAGAGCCGTGTGTGTGTGTGTGTGTGTGTGTGTGGGGCGGGCGTGTGAGTGCACACAGCGGAGAGCCGTGTGTGTGTGTGTGTGGGGGCGGGCGTGTGAGTGCACACAGCGGAGAGCCGTGTGTGTGTGTGTGTGTGTGTGGGGGGCGGGCGTGTGAGTGCACACAGCGGAGAGCCGTGTGTGTGTGTGTGGGGGGGGGGGGGCGGGCGTGTGAGTGCACACAGCGGAGAGCCGTGTGTGTGTGTGTGGGGGGGGGGCGGGCGTGTGAGTGCACACAGCGGAGAGCCGTGTGTGTGTGTGTGTGTGTGTGGGGCGGGCGTGTGAGTGCACACAGCGGAGAGCCGTGTGTATGTGTGTGTGTGTGGGGGGGCGGGCGTGTGAGTGCACACAGCGGAGAGCCGTGTGTATGTGTGTGTGTGTGGGGGGGTGGGCGTGTGAGTGCACACAGCGGAGAGCCGTGTGTGTGTGTGTGTGTGTGTGTGGGGCGGGCGTGTGAGTGCACACAGCGGAGAGCCGTGTGTGTGTGTGTGTGGGGCGGGCGTGTGAGTGCACACAGCGGAG